CTATGGGACCCAGAGGAAGGGCAGAAAAGGATAAAGCACTCTGTATATTCTTTTTTTTTTTTGGAATTCAGACAATCATTAGCTGATGTCATCCAGCCTCCTTTTGGGGCAGTTTATATCACCTCTGACATGAGTGGGGAGCACCCTGTTTAACCGTAACAGCCCTTCAGTGGGGTTACTGGGAGCATGTGTGGTGCTTCCCAGTTAATCCTTCATCCGAGACGGGACCGAGGCAGCACACAGGACTGGGAAGGTGTGGGGAAAGAGGGTTCACTGCTGAGATGAAGGAGGTGATGGAGGAACAGGGAGGGGACGAGATCTGTCCCAGTGCTGCTTCCCCAGAGCAGACTGTGCGGAGGAGGCCGGCCTGCTCGCTGCTCCACTATGGCTGTGGCCTGGCTGAGGGCACCGTGTGGCAGGGCTGCAGGGCCAAAATTACAGCAGGACAGAGCAAAGCGCCTTCAGCTGCACCAGGAGTGGGCACGGGGCACAACGGGAGGGAGGAGGAGAGGGCTGAGGTGGGAGAAATGGGAATGCTTTGGGGTTGGGGAGCCCGGCAAAGCTGTGTGACTGTGACAGGAGGTGAGGGGCAGGTGTGAGGAGCTGGGGGCACGAGGCTGGATGAGGCTGCTGAGGAGCCATCTCTGGGGCTCTGCTGAGGGGAGGAGAAGCAGGACTTTGTTGGTGAGCAGTGACCTGGCCCCGCGCTGTGGAGAAGGAGGGCTCTCATCTTCCTCCCCGTGAGTGCTGTCTGTCAGCACAGTGAGCAGGTAGGAGGGTGAGGTGGGAGCTGTGGGGTCAATGTGGCTGTTTTACTTCATTTTTCACCCAGGGAGCTGTGGCTGTAGCGCTGGGACAGACTTCAGCTCCGTGTGTGAGCCCTGCCTGTGATCTCCCTGCCTGCTGTGTGCAGAAATCTTGAATAGCTATAGACTACAAGTGCTTTTCCATTGCTGCCCATTTAATACTGTGGCTGTATCTCATTCTATTTTGGTGCAGGAATGCCCTTAATTTGTTCCAAAAGCATTTGAAAGCTCTGATAACAGGCAATCTTGCTGCAGACTATTGCATTCTTTCTGATGGATGGCGTATCACTGCTGTAACTACTGTGTAGATAGTGGAGTGACAATGCGTGTCCAGTGAAACATAGGCAGTATAATATTTATGTCAAGTATTTGAGGCCAAGAAACTTGCCTGCATTTGGATATTGAAGTGCTCAGCAGCTACCAGGGCTCAAAAATGTGTTTTTCTTTTTTTTTTCCTCCCTGAGCAGCAGCAAACCTGATTGAAGGCTCACGATACTCTGGCAGTGCTGGGAGTAGTAATGGCCAGGTTTCTTGCAACACGGGATTCAGGGGTGAGGAGCATTCAGATATTTATGAAAGTATGGGAAATGGCACCCGGGCTTGGCAAGTCAGCTTTCGTCAGAAATTGCCTCGCTGCTGGGTTTTGCTTAAAATTGTGAAATGAATGTTAAATTGAAGTTTCTACTTTTGGAAGAGACCTTTTGAAAATGAAACAGGCTTATCTTCAGTCTAGGCTAAAATCCAAAAAATTGCCTGGATCTCAGAACTCCCCAGAAATGTTCTCTGTGATCCGTTTAAACATCCCATGCAAAAACGTGTGTGAAAGGTAAGAATTTTGGAGAAATACTGACCCCAAAGTTTTGCCCTGCTGCCATGCAGCCTTGGGGAACAGGGCTGGTAGGGTCCCAATGGCTAGGGACCCCTGCATGGGGTCTCTGCTGTGGTCTGGGCAACAGCAGCCTCCTTTCCCAAGCTCATTTGGAAAGGTCTGCTGCAGGGATGTGTGGGTGATGTGTGTCACGAGTGTGTAATGGCTGTAGATCGTCCTCCCCTGTGGGTGTCTGTGCCTCAGAGCAGGATTAAGATGGGTTTGGATAAGCGGGGTCCTCTCTCTTGATGCTTCTGTGCTGTTCCCATGGTCTCCTTGCATTTGTAGAAGGCATTGTGATGTCTTTCCCACGGCTGAATTATTCCTTTTGCTCCTAAAAGTAACCTTCACTGCAATTTTAATTAGACAAGATGCTTCAGAATGGACCTTTGAAGCACTGCTATGAAGACAACTGTGGTTAAATAGCCCTGATACTGTTCTAGTTTTGTTCTTTCTTTTACACTGTAAGAAACCCTCTGCTCTCATCTCTCTGGACACACTCTCATCCCTGGAGCGTGTCCAGAGCTGGGCTACGAGGCTGGTGAAGGGCCTGGAGCACAAATCCTATGAGGGGCGGCTGAGGGCACTGGGGGTGTTTGGTCTGGGGAAGAGGAGCCTCAGGGGAGACCTCATTGCTCTCTGCAACTGCCTGAAAGGAAGGGGTGGGGAGCTGGGGGTCAGCCTCTTCTCACAGGTAACTGTGATAGGACTGGAGGGAATGGCCTCAAGTTGTGCCAGGGGAGGCTCAGGTTGGAAATGAGGAGACATTTCTGCTCAGAAAGAGCAGTCAGGCACTGGGACGGGTTGCCCAGGGAGGTGGTGGAGTCACCGTCCCTGGGGGTGTTCAAGGAGAGGTTGAACGTGGTGCTGGGGGACAGGGTCTGGTAGTGACATGGGTGGTAGGGGTATGGTTGGACCAGATGGTGTTGGAGGGCTTTTCCATCCCTAATAATTCTGTGATTCTTTGCAGCTGAGAGGGAAGGTGTTCATTTTGTTAGACAGTTCGAGCTTGTACCAGCTCCTGTCCTGGAGTGTGAGCCACAGGGCTGGCTAGATTTACAGGGTAAGGAGTGCAAGCAGCCCCTCTTGCTACTGATTTGCTCCAGCAAACAGCTATTTATATTAAAGCAGAGAAGGGATTATTAGGAGACATCTCATTGCAATGACAGAGATGTGACAGTGAGTTCATGCATCCTCTCCAAAGTGCAAGCGTGGGCTCTTTATGGATCCCATGCATGGTCAGGAGCTGTTTAGTTTTTTCACTTTGAGTGCTCAGATGTGCGCAGAGATTGGGGATAACGACCGGCGCTGTGCTTGGGAGGCAGCGATAATGAGCACAGCCCTCGATGAGGTTCAGCTGGCAGCGCTATGCCAGCAGCATAATTAGCGAGGTGCTGAATAAGGGGGTTGGCAGTAATGGGGTAACCTTGTCCCTGCCCTCGGCGGGGCTGTGATGTGCTGCGGCAGCGGAGGGGCTGGGGGCACCCCCCAGGAGCAGCTCTGCTGAGCCCTGCCGCGGTGCGGTGGGGACTTCTCCGCGAGCAGGGGGGGCTGCGTCGGCTTTGATCTGTGGCACAAAGCCAGGAGCCGCTGCTGAAAACGCATTGGTTTCAGGGCTAAGAAAAAGTATTTCTGAGGAATGGAGAAGGTCTGTGGCAGTGGAAGTGCCTGGTCTTGCAGCCTTGGGGGGCTACCAGTGGTCCAGAACCCGGGTGCCTTGAAGGACTCTGGTGTTGGTAGCTCCTCGGGATGGCCTCAGCTGGGCTCATGTCTTTGTTTCCCCTCGGAGCTGGGTGTGCTTTTGCCCAGCTGTGTTCAGGAAAATGAAAAGCAAAATGCCCCAGCTGCTCCTGCAGCTCCATCGGCAGGGCATCCTCCCCTGGTGACCTTGTTGTGGGTGGTGGGGAGGACCTCGTCTCCATCCCCACCTCTGTGCAGGGGGAATCTGAACTTGGGCCTCTGGCCTTTGTGGAGCAGACACCCCTTAGGGCTGCAGTTACTCTGAGGTGCTTTGCAGACCAAAAAAGCAGTTACTCTGATCCTCTGCACAGCAGAAAGCTGCCAGTGCAGCCAACAACTCCTGTCCCCTCAGGAGGAGGGATGCCCCTCAGCTGCCATGCCACAGAAGGTGCAAGCATCTATGTAAGGCAGAGCATTTGTCGAGGATTACGAAGCGTGTCACGATCCACTGGAGTCAGGCGCTGGGTTCCTCTTCCCAAACAGAAGGGAATTGGATTCGGGTCCCCCACAACGTGGATGGCTGCTGAAGCCGTGGGCCCGGTGACTAAGAGGACCGCCACCGGGAGCCCGCCTGCCTTCCCAGCGCTTGTGCTGCAGATGGAAAAACAAACACACACAAAAAGAGGTGGTGGAAGGAGAAATATTTTGGCTTATTTTGCACTCGGATTTTTTTTTTTTTTCGGCTTTGGTTTGGCTGCCAAACTGACAAAGCGGCTCTTTGCAGAGAGCTGTTCAAAACTTGATGGGCAGCTGCGGAGCTGTCAGCGCTCCTGCTGCTGCCTGGCCGAGGCTGGAGCCGCAGCTGAGTCCCGGAGCTGCTGCCTCTGGGTGGGCTGGGGGCGCACACCTGGGGCTTGCTTTTGGTTGTGCAGTGCCCCAACCCCTAATTAACCAGGCGTGGTGCTCTAAATGTGTTGTTGCTGCGTTGGGTGCTGGCGTCCTGGCTCCTGGCGGGCTGAGGCTGTAAGTCACTGCCGGGGGGGATGTGGCAGGTAAAATTAGGGGCAGACAAGCAGACGTGCAGCCCCGAGGCCGGTATTTGTCAAGCTTGGTGGGTAGCTTTCCTTGCTGGTGCTTGTTAGCCTGAGCTGGGACTGGTCCTGCTAAACACAGCTCTGGTGCTACCTGGAAGAAGGTTTCTGGTGTAAACACCACCAGAGCATGCACACTTCTCTGTGTTTTGGCTCGTTTGACACCGTGTGCCCTCCATCTGCCTCCTGCCCACCAGCAAACCTCTGCTGGGCCTGGCTGCAGACCTCCGGGGGCTTCTTCCAGCAGCTTGCTGGGCAACCTGTAGGAGGTTTATGGAGTCCTGTGCAGCATTTTACTTACTGTCGGTGCTTTTCTTGTCCAGAAATCCCAGGGCACCTCATAGCCCCTTGCTTTTATTAAGGAAGAAAACTGTTCCTGTCCGTATGCAGGGGAAATAGCAGGACAGAGACCGAAAAAGCAGTGCTCAGGTTCATCCAGCAGGAAGGTAGTCCTAGGGGTGAGACTCACCAGCCCTGATCTGCAGGGCTGCTAAATGCCTGCCTTCCAGCATCGTGCAGCGATCTGACCCTGGGTTGTGTGTTCTGTCCCTGCAGAGATGTCGGGGACGGTGGCTGACATCTCGCTGGTGCACTGGAAGCAGCAGTGGCTGGAGAACGGCACCCTGTACTTCCACGTCTCCATGAGCAGCGCCGAGCAGCTCTCCCGGGCCACCCCTCCCAGCCTCCAGGAGCCTTCGGAGATAGTGGAGGAGCAGATGCACATTCTTCACATCTCTGTCATGGTGAGTCGGAGCTGCCAGCTGCGGCCAAGGGCACGGGGGACATCGGGGAGGGGACGGGAGGTGGTACAGGACAGGTTGGAGAGTCTGGTTTGCACGTGTCTGCGTCCCTTCTGTGCTCCTCGTCTGACTCTGAGCCTCCAGAGAGGGAGAAACGTGTTCAAATGGGCCAGCAAAAGAAGGAAAATTGGTCTTCTGTGAGAATGAAATAAAATAAACCAACAGACTGACGGGAAGGTGCTGCTAGGAGGACAGCAGGAAGCTTGTGAGTCCTTGTGCCTCTGCTGGCAACTGTTGCAGCGTGTTAGTGGGGTGTTTCTCCTTGGTCCTGCATTCTGGCGTGTTCAAAGGCAAGATCAGGGGCTCGATCACTTCTTTTTTGAAGATTTTGTAAACTGAATTTTACCTATTGAGTGGGTACAAGCCATAGTATGATCCTTTTTTTTTTTTTTTTTTTCAGAGCGTAAGTTTGACCTGAGAGTGATCGAAATGCTTTGAGTACCCCTCATCTCGGGTGTTTTTGTGGCATTTTATTATCATATGTGTGTGCTCTGCAGCCTTCTGAGATGCTGTCCTCAATACCTGGTGAGGTAGCTACCCGTGTGTCCGAATCTGGTGCACCATCCTGCCGTGCTTTACAGCTCCCTCTGTAAACTGGGACCAAAAGGACTGCCCCTACCTGCCTTTGAGAGGAGCTGCCCCTCAAAGAAAAGGTGGAAGAAAAAAAGAAAACCAAACTTGTAGGTCCCCTGAGTGGTGTGTGTGTGTGCACGTCACCAACCTGTGCAAAAGGTGCCTCTGTGCATGTCTCACAGCCTGCGTGCTGTCTCCGCACCTTCTGGTTTTTCATTTTGGAAGGAGGAGCAGAGACGATAGCTGCGTGAAGCCTTTTTTTTTTTTTCCTCTCTCTCCACTTGAACAAGCAGCTATTTGGCTTCTACAACTTAAATCTGTGTTTTGGAGTGTCTCAGCTCTTGTCAGTGAGGCTTTAGATTGGGCACTGAGCGCATGTGAATGCGGAGAGAGGCTTTGCATTGAGGCTGTTGGGCGAGATAAGACCTAATATGATAGCGGCATGGCAGAAGGGACAGGAGCTGGGCACCGCAGCTCAGCGGATTGGGCTGGGAACGCTTCTTACATCCTGCTAAAAATGTCAGCGTGATGGAGTATGGGGGGGAGGTGGAACTGGGATACTGAGAAAATGAGCCTGAAAAAAAGTGCGAGAGAGAGAGAGCAAGGAATAAAGAGAGCAAAACCCAAGTCAGGGGTGTGCAAAGCTCAATCCCTGGGTTGCAAAGTGATGATTGCAATGGATTGATGCTTTGGAGAAAGGGAGGGAGGCTTTATTTGAAAAATTCCTACCCAGAGCCTTCATTTGCTGTAAGTTGTGATGTAGGTGCCGTGGTGGCAGTCGGGTGGAACTGAAGACGTGCCCGTGCATAGCAGAGAGGAGATGTTCCTGTGCTCTGCTCCTGGGCTGGCTGCTGACGGCGTGCTGTGCCACGCACCGCTGCATCAGTAACACGGGAGCAGCCGCGGCACTGGTGTGAGAGCTAACGTGTGCCCTGAGCCTTCCCTTGTAGGTGAGCAAGGTGAAGATGACAGCAACAAGAGTTCCTTGTGCACAGACCGAGCTGTAACTCTGCCTTCCTTACAAGACCTGATGATCCTGGCAGTGGGATCCGAGGTCCTGATCAGGGCTCGGGGCAGGCAGAGCAGTGCCGGAGCCCCAGGCACATCTTCCCTGGGTCAGGATCTCGTCACAGGGACTGGAAACCTGACACAGTATTTTGGAAGATTCATTAACTTTTTTCTGAGTGAACCTAAGCCAAGTTTGGAGCAGCTAGCAGAAGGTAAATGTGTTTTGTGGTTGTTATTTTTCCTTCTCAAAGCCACATGGGTTTGTGCAGCCGAAGTAGAACTGGTCAGAAGTCTGTTTCTTGGGTTAAAGGTTTCACCCGAGTCCCTGAGCTTTGTCCGGGCTGCTCTCCCGTGCTTTTACTTCCCATCCTCACCCCAGCTACGTTACATCCTGGAGAGCCCCCCCAGCCCTCTGGGTGCCAGCCTGGCCCCCTGGGTGCCCCACTCCTGTCTTCACTCGTGCCTGCCATGTCCCCAGCCCTGTTCCTGCTGTGCCATTCGCCTCGATGTCACTGTGTCACCCTCCTTCATGCCCTTGCTCCCCACAGAAGCTCCTGTGCGTTCAGTCCCTGCATGCCCCGTTCATCACAGGGCTGGTGTCTTGCCGCAGGGGCTGGGATCAGATGCTGGGAAGAGCTCCCTTCAATCTCCTGTAAGTGACTGTAACACGCGCTGCTACCTGTCCTGGCATCCTCCGGCTGAGTTATAGGAAGCTGGGTAAGGTTTGCCTGGTGGGATCTCTCTAATTCCCGGCTTGACGTGTTTAGGGAGTGTGCTGGCAAAGCTTTATTGGCCAGAGAGACGTCTCCAAGGCGAAGCCTCTCGTGCAGAGACGTTGCTGTGGGTTTGTGTAGATGTTTATGACCTGGCTGCCTCTGCTCCTCGCTCGTGCTCTGCCTCCAAAGCCAGGAGCCCCGCTGCACTGCCTGGGGAGCCAGCTCGCTTCTGACCTCAGATAACCAAATCTCAGCATTGCTCTCATTTAATTTGGCTTTCTGCTTCTGTTACTGTTTTTTTCCCCAGCGATGTTGGTTGTCTGTGCGTGGCTGGCTGGCTCGGGATGGGTTTGTTTGTTTTTTTTTTTTTTGCCTTTGGGTTCCCTCCTGATGCGCCGCCTTGGCTAATTCTGGGCTAATTCAGACCTGGATGCTTTGGGATACTGGGGGGGAAGTGGTGGGCAAGGGGCAGCCGTGACCCTCTTCGTGCCTCTCCCCAAGCTCAAGGCTAGCTCTAACAACAAAACACTTCTTTTTTTTTTTTTTTTTCTTACCTCACTGTTTTGCCTTAATCTCTCCCCAGTGAAACATAACATTAATTACTGTAGTTAGAGGGAATTCGGTCTCCATTACTGTCTGCCACCCCTTTCCTTTTGGCTTGAGCATCTAAGATTTGTCTCCGAAATGAAAAGGGAAGAAAAAAAAAAAGAAGAAAAGCAAATGCTAGATTTTATTTATTTACTCTCTTTTTTTTTTGCAGTGTCAAGTAGAAAGGAATCAATATTTTTGTCATTACGCCTGTTGTGTTTTTTCCCCATAATCTTAGCTGTCATTTGGGTTTAATTGTGTTGTTTCCTCTTGTGTGGAAGTAAATCTTATCTGTTTTGGATTAAAATTCAATGAAGGTCACAGCAGCTCGAAAACTTACCAGGCTGCAGCAATTAATGTTCATTTGGCTTTGATAAATTGGAATGTTCCCCACAATAGGACTGGAGTGGATTTCAGAAGCAATAATTCTTCCATTAACTCAATGATTCCCCGCATGATAGAGCGTCTTGTCACTGCTCTGTTTGTCATCTGTCACTTCAAGGATCTGGGCATATGCCTGATATGATTTATCATGATTATTGGGGCCTCTTGTGTCAAAACATTTTAAGCTACTAATTATTCCAGCCTTGCAAATTGCGGAATTTAACAAAACATAAGAGATATTTTTCCCACCATATTGTGCCTCTGCAGTTACCGTTCTGTGTCTCTGCAGATCCGGGCCCAGAGCCGCGTTTCCCAGCTGTAGGAGGGCGCCTACCTGCAGGATGCGGGGCTGCGGGTACCAGGACGAGCTCAATTTCCCTTGAACTGAGCCATTTCTGGTCATGCTTGAGCTCTTTGGCAGGCTTGTGGTTCCCTGCGCTGTGCCCACCAGCTCCTCCTGCCCCCGCAGGTGGTGTGTGCAGGTTTGGGGACCCCACAGGAGGTGCCACAGGGGTACAGCCACCTCGTGCATGCCTCAAACCTTCCCCAGTTGGGGCTGTCAAGGAGCGGAGATGAAGTCCTGTTGCATCCTGCTGCGGTGTTCCTGGCGGATCTGCTCTTGCAGTAGCCAAGAAAATGCAGGTACGGGTGCTGCGGGCTGGCTTTCCGTGCCCTACACCTGTGCAAACGATGCCAGCAGCGGCTGCCAGGGGAATTTGGGAGATCCAAGCTGGGAGCGTGCCCGTGTGCAGTGTAAGCCATCACTCGCCGCCTCTGCTCTGCCTCCAGCAGCAGCGAGGTGGGCATCTGTGAGGATGGGAACAAGAAAAAACTCTTATTTCATCTCATACCATCTCCCTGCGAGGCACTATTGGAGCGTCTGGAATAAAAGGTGACCAGACCTCATCAGGCTGATGGCTTTTATTTTTTATTTTTGCTTCCTGCTTTCTGCTGGCTGCCCGTGGCAGGAGACAGCTGCTGGTTTCTAGGTCTCCCGGCAGATTTTTCAGCTCTTATTTATATGAGTTTCCTCTTTTCTTCTTAAGCATCCTGACATCTCCCTAATGATCAGGCATTGGTGCTGTGCTCTGTCAGCTTCCGAGATGGTGTAAAGTGTGCTCCGAAATGCTCCTCTCTGATTCAGCATCCTGCTCTGAAGTGGAGCAGGGGAGGGATGCTGTGGCCCCAGGAAACCTCGTGGTGCTGGGGGGGGCTCCAACCAGTGGCCTTCCTGGGGGGCTCAGCGCCTGCCTTTGGAATCAGTGCGGACACATCTGAGAGGTTTTGGAGTTTAGGAGCTGCTGCCTCCTTTCTGGATCTGCTTCTCTGCAGAAGTGCACTCTCCAGAAGTGCATTCGTTTGCCTTATGTTCCTTAAACTTTTTTTCCTCCCGTGCCCTGTAACAACTCTGTGACTGTCTCGCTCTGTGCCATGCTGACCTGTGTTTCCTTGAGGAACCCCGTTCGTGTTAGGCTCCTGGATTTAGCTTGGCTGCCCCAAAAGTCCCGTGGCCCCGTGCTGCTGGGGGTGTAGGGAACCCCTCTGGAGGAGCCAAGTGCTCCAGGGGGTGCAGGTGCTGCTGGAGCCCTGCTCTGCCTCCTTGCTGGTGGCAGGCAGCTCGTTTGGAGAGCGGGTGGAACGTGAATAATGAGGTAATGAAGAAGGCACAGCATC